TTTGAAAATCTTGGCCCTGGACATTTACCACTGTGGTAAATGAAACCCACCACATATGGATTTGACAACCCAAGGTTCAAGTCAGAACAAATCTTGGACATAACAAAATTGATCAAATCCTGGCACATGGAAGGGACACAACCCTGGGTATAAGTGGTTATGCTAATGCTCCATTAGCTGGAAGAAGGTGGACGAAAGGGGGTTTATTGTTGCACTGAGATTTTTGCACTTGTGACCTAGTGTGTGTATGCTAGTATTTGTCCAAACTAATGCCAGGTTCATGGTGCTAGTCCATTGGAATATCATGACACAGGTTAACATGGCTCCAAGGCGATCAGTCCTTGTTTATCCCCTAAATGCTGAGCACCAATTAGGGTAACGCCAAGTACCATCTTTCGACATGTTTTGTTATAAGCCCACCGGGGGACTGAAACCCCAACCTTCTGCTATCCAGGCGGACAGATGCTCTATTAACCAGACCACAAAGTTGGTCTAGCTGTTAGGAAAATCCCATGATGTGAGCACAGCCCTAAATACCATCAAAACCGATGCTGCCTCAATAGTTCCATACAACTGATGCACAATTAATGCAACATGTCAAGGCATTAAACTCAGCAAACATGCCAGCTAGTTGAAGCTACTAAAAACAAGATTCCATTAATCTAGAGTGACCCTGGATGAAAGTTCTTCCAGCTGAGTTGGTCGAGTGTGACAATTTTGCTGTCAATCACATGTGATCAGTGAAGGGATTAGACCCGGCCTGATTGCAAATCTTCATCAAATGAAATGAGCGTATTTCCCCACCCTGATCAATTACTGTCAACATGGCCACAACAGAGAAAGTCCTTGATTGCAATCCTCCATTCCATTAGACAAAGATTTTGTCAGTCCGTGATTCTGTCAGACCACAATACAAGGCCTTGTATCTAACAAGTCCACGATTCCGTCAGATTCCGTCAGTCTGTCATTCCGTCAGACCACAGTTCAAGACCATGTTTCCAACATGGCCACGATTTCGTCACTGCCAAGTTTTTATCAGTCCGTGATTCAGTCAGACCACAATTCAAAACTGTGATTCTAACAAGTGCACGGTTCCATCAATGCCAACATTTTGTTCCATGTCCTACTGTATGTGAAACTACTCTGCAAGCATTAATTATTGCTCTCTCTATCAACCATTGGTTTGTCAACTAAAGACTGGATTATTCATATCAGCAGTAACACATCTCTAATTTTGCCAGGGACGGAAACACTGACCGTACTCTCTCCGTGAAACTCTCTATCCAGTACACCACATTGACAGTCCAACATCACAAAACTACTGGCTGACCCCAATACAAGAAGGAATTAGACCAGTCTCGCATCTCATCCAGAAATAATTCTCTATTTTTACTCTGATGTTGTTATCAAGTCACAAAACCCCTTGACAACATGTCAGCATGTTACAAAGGCTCTGATTGGTCCTTTGATGTATTAAACGAAGTTCACTTCCCATCACTGCCATTATGATCATGTCTTGGGGAACAAACAGACTGATAAATATTTCACAGTTACCCAATCCATCTGATGGACAAAATTAGAATTTATGTCATTGCTCGTTCCGGTCCTATCAAGCCCTGAATTGCATGTCAATGTAATGATAAAGGCAGCCACGAGTTTCAGTTAATATGTCTTATTTCCTCGCATTCTTTGATAATGCTGTGAGAAGCAGATTGGATGTAATGGACATAAACTTATTGCTTTATACAGACAATTCTATTGAGGTTTTTTAGAAAGAAAGAAACAAGATTTGCATTTACAGGTAAATCAAATAAATCAAACAATTGTATGATTATCACACTGTTACACATTTACGTAGGTGAAGAGAAATAAGGTTTAATATTGCATTCGAGATCATAGCACTTACAGGAATGTACATGAGATGTGTTCGGCTGCTTGCAAAGTCTGGACTAAGGGTTTATATCTCTACCCTAGACTAACACTTAGTCTTAAATATATATAATTTTGATAGTAATGCATAAACCCATTTAAATTGAAAAGGAGCCCAAGTGAGTTGGGAGATTGCTGAGGAAATCTAGACTTGCTTCGTTTTGTGTTTTAGCATTGTAGGGAGGGCTAGGCATTAGGGGAAGTAATGTGGTTGAGGGACTGTGAGACAGACTACATTGCAGGGAGGGCTAGGCATTAGGGGAAATAATGTGGTTGAGGGACTGTGAGACAGACTACATTGCAGGGAGGGCTAGGCATTAGGGGAAATAATGTGGTTCAGGGACTGTGAGACAGACTACATTGCAGGGAGGGCTAGGCATTAGGGAAATAATGTGGTTCAGGGACTGTGAGACAGACTACATTGCAGGGAGGGTTAGGCATTAGGGGAAATAATGTGGTTCAGGGACTGTGAGACAGACTACATTGCAGGGAGGGCTAGGCAGTAGGGGAAATAATGTGGTTCAGGGACTGTGAGACAGACTACATTGCAGGGAGGGCTAGGCATTAGGGGGAATAATGTGGTTCAGGGACTGTGAGACAGACTAATCGCTAACCCTCTGTAGCACCATGCTGCAGTAGATAATGTATACCCTACTCAGATACAGTATACTGACTCACAGTCGACAGACCATGTCTTATTCCTTTAAAAGTTCGTACAAGTCAGGGTTGTGACAAGGATCATCTTTAAATGTCTTGTTATAACACGGCAGGAATTGAACCTCATCTTCCCCTCCTCTGGGCTGGGGCACTATCCACTAGACCAGTTTATATAATTCCATAAAACGCCAGTTTGGAATCATTAGTCTACTTAATGACTTGTTCCAAACATTTCTACAAAAGCCACAGACTTACAGCCACAATTCCGCACTGCCTGCTGTCCTTTCTCGTCCTGTATCTCAACACCAAGCAATTTCTCTCCATTTCTAAGCAGATCACTGTTATCAAGAACACAGCCAGTCTGCCAGTAGGCGGCTCTGCCATTATGAAATATGCTTCCTTCTTCAAAGCTGACTTTAATAAACGATTGATTTATTTTTCATGCTTTAAACACAAATGAGTCGTTAGTTTGCTCAAGAAAAACTGGCACATAATGAACAGATATTAAACACGTCAGTTAATTGAAAAAACGTCCAATGAAGTTAAGGAAGAAATCAACTGCATGATAAATATTTGCAAACATTGCCCACTAGATGAATTGTTGATAACACATGCTTAGCAACAGTGCTTTCCTCACACACGTGTTTTCCTAGATGAGGTCAATTCTGATTTAACTGGCAATTTATTCCTTATGATTTAGTGGCATTCTCTTATTGCAAGTATTAATTCAAAGTGTATGAATCGAAACCAGATTCAGATCAAACACACTGTGGATCAATTCATATCATATCTTTAATTTTACAAATTTAATCAATTATCAAGTACATCTACAGCATATTTTCACTTAAATATGTTTTCTTTCTGTGATCTAAGTACAAAAAATGATAAAACTACAAATGTTCCTGAAGATCAAAAGTGTTAAATGCTTAAATCAGGCATTAAAAACTGCAATGCAATTTTTCAATGAAGCCTATCTGATGTCTTAAATCCAAATTAAACTAATGTTAATGGCAAAAAATTACAAGAAAGTTTACACTTGAGCCGAGGGGAATCCTGTCAGATTTGCACAAGACGCCCAATAATGGCCAAGAATACACCAAAGCCCTCGAGGAGGTCTGAGCTGACATTTTGTTCAATTCACATGAATGAGAAAAAAATATTGGGGATCTCTTCCAAAGTGCTGCCAAACCTGAACCAAACTCAAGCGCCTGTTCCTGAATTCTTGCCCATTTATAGAACACTGAATTCTCAATGTCATCTCAATTAAACTGGTTTCTGTTTTTTATCAAGAAATTCATACAACATTTGAACGCTGGTTGTCAAGCATTCCCTAGAGAAGTCATCCTCAGTCACACCGTGCCATGTCAACATTGCTAAATACTCAGCTTTTTATTTAGGTTTACTATCATCGCAGACACTTTATCAGAATAAAAGACACCATGCTTCAAATTTCTATCAACTTTCAAGCGTTTTTATGAGTTATTAAATGATAATTCTTTAGAGCTATTATCAAATGAAATTTGTCCAAATCATGTTCTATAACATAAATTTGGATATTTTAATACAAAAATTGGGTACATTTTTCTGTAATCTATTCATACTCTTGCCACTACCACCTTGCCTGTTGTGGTGAAAGGAATCTTTCTTGTAGATATCTGAAGACAAATTATTCTCTGGCGTCGATGATGTGACCAGTTGCGGACAAAATAATTACCATTATATATACCTACTCCTTGGCACTTAATTGTAGTCCTTGTGACTGTAATGCCACTTTTAAACCAAATTTCATTTCTTCGGAATAATCTGAACAGCTGTCAATACAGAAAACCTACTTCCTATTGCTGAGCGTCCATATATGCATAGCCATTATGACAATTGTAAATGAACTGGATCACTATGTGAAGCTTCAGGCGAATGAATGAGAAGACATTTCACAGGAAGAAATTTACTGTTGGCGATGAAAGAAATGTAGAGAGCTCCACTATGGTCAGTAAATATGCCATTCAGGGCTAGTCCTCACACAATCACCACTAGTTTATTACATCAAGGCATTTTGGAACGCCTCTAAATCACTTCGCTGTGCTAATTGGGCCATCGTGCTGAGAAAGCCCATAGAATTGGAAAACCGAGTCTAAAGACTTCACGATCATGTTTGCCGAGTTGTAAAAACATGCTTCGGAAAAGAAACGACAGCAGATGTACCAATCTAAGGATGTTCGCAAAATTGCAGAGAGACTCTGGCTTGAAGGACGAAGGAGTTTTGACATTTGGACAATGGGAAGTATTCTTGACAAATGACTTTGTGGTAATTTTGACAACCAGAGTAACAATATTATGTGTGACAGTCGCTAATTGTGTTTTTCAGGATGCACTTATCATTCCTTTCCATGCAGACACACTGGATGCTAGCTTACCTACAACTTGTCGCTCTCGAACTACTGTCAAATCAACAAGAGAAGGACTGCCACATACCTGAAAGAAAATAGTCATACATTAGCAACAGAAAGTGTCTCATAGCAACGAAGAAACGATAACAAGAAACAAAAAACACATGTCACGTGTGATGAAAGTTCTTATTGTAGATATCTCCTGACAACATTCAGGGAAATGAATTGTTTGTTTGTTTGTTCCTCACAATATTCCAGCTATATAATGTCAGTCTGTAAATAATAGAGTCTGGGTCAGACACATTGACATCATGAGCATCGACCTATGGGACCAATTGGGTTACGATGACATGTCTCAAATGAGTCCGCAAGACTGACTGACTGACTGAGTTTTGGTTTTACGCCGCTTTTAGCAATATTCCAGCAACATCACGGCGGGGGACACCAGAAATGGGCTTCACACATTGTACCCATGTGGGGATTCAACCGGGTCTTCGTCCGCTTTAACCACTAGAGCTACCCACCGCCCGAGTCCGCAAGAGTGTTCAGGGTAATGACAACATATCATTTAAAAATACCAACACAATTTAAAAATCATTTCAGCCCCTCTAACAAAGAACAATAAATAATAATATATAATATAAATAAACATAAATATATAATAATAAAATGACCAAATTTTTGCGTTCCTCAATACTATAACTTAAAAGTTGCATCGGTAATATCCATACCTCAACATGATTCAATTTTTACTTCACACATTATCAAAACAAACAATATCAGATTCAGTTATGCAGTTGTGAACGTGTTCGCTTATCGTGCTGACATTTTTAAAACAAATATTTCCTACCACAGACATTACAGCGTGACAGCTGACATTTTCATGTTTTACCTCCAACACAACATTTTTGACAAAATTCAAGACTTTAAAAACACTGTCCCCCATATCTTGTTCACAGCCTTGTTTACAATGGTATCAGCACAGCTGCAGCGGTAACCAGAAAAAACAAGCGGGCACCACAAATACAGATTTCAGAAGATTGGTCTGGCAGGAAAGGAGGGGAAATATGACATGTAAACAATATTTGGACATTGACTGAATAGACCTCTAAACTTCTCAAAAAGTGTAAATTCTACATCCAAGAAACCTGTTTAGAAGGTTTGGTACATATGTTATATTTGAGAATACACTTGCTCATTAATGTACAGATTCTAATGCTTTTATTAGGTTGAGTCCATCTGTGATTTTAACCCACACTCTCAGAGTCAGGCACCTAATCCCCACCACAGGAAGTCAGTGATCTAACCCACTTAGCCACCACAACTTCAACAAGATTGTTGTTTAGGTTATATCAATAATTACCTACATGACTGTAGCCTGCAAATATTAAGTCTGGATCCAGCAATTCTGTGATTGATATTATGAACAACTATCCAAACTGTCATGTTACATGTTACAAGGAAATATAACCATATATTACAACAGGGTCTACAAAGAGCAAGCTTCACACATTGTAACCATTAGGTGAGTGAGTTGGGTTTTACGCCGCTTTTAGCAAAATTCCAGCAACATCCCGGTGGAGGACACCAGAAATGGGCTTCACTCATTGTACCCATGTGGGGATTCCTCGAACCACAGGGTCTTCGGTGTGACGAGCGAACGCTTTAACCACTAGGCTACTCCACCACCCCTGTAACCATTAAGAAAATCAAACCCATGTTACAGCAGGCAAGCTAACATTCCAACCACTAAGCTATCTAACCAACCAGTTAAGTGGTTAATACTTTTTAGAAATCATTCAAAGAAAATTAACTTAATCAGCAAATTATTGACATTCAAATTTCAACTAAATTAGGAATGGAAATACAGTATACTAATTCTAAACAATAAGAAGACATGTAATTGTGTCACATTTGATACTGTTTTGGTACCTTGACTCCTCAGAAACATATTGGTCATGATCGATCAGTTGTTACAGAGAGTAAGTGAGTGAGCGAGTCAGCGAATGAGATATTTGACTCATATTCCATATTCCATTCTTTTCACACAAAAGATGCAAGCCACCAAATATGTTAACAATGGAATAACATAAATCCAAAATGAACAATCAATTAGTTACCAAATTCTATTAATTACAAGTATTTCAAATGTAGAGGATGAAGTCTCTAATATTTCCACTAAATACAACAGCAAAGTATGAAACAAATGAGACCAAACATAGACATTATTTCTCCAAAATAAGAAAATAGAAATGGTACTCTTATCTTTTCATCAATTTAAAAATCATAGCCATCCACATTTCTGAGTCACATGAATGTCAGCAGCTAGGAAAATAGTATATGGAGCAATGGCTGATCTTTTCCTCTCCCCCTGTTCAATGTAAGCCTCACATGTGTGACATAAAAGGCACTTCAGCATGTGTCCTGTGCTTCCAGGTGTTAAATGTCTAAATTGTCTATTTCAGTCAAAATACAGGTGTACAAGACAAAAGCCAGCAGTGATCCCCACTCCCCGTTTCAAGCATCCCACTGCGCTGCAGGACTTAATTGCTCATATTTCTGTCTCTCGCAATTTGTACTTGATTTCTTCACATCATGTGGTTTATATACAATTTTACACATGTGAGTCATTTATATCTTTTCATACTTATGATATGTAAGTCATGATTTTCTACTTAGCTGTTGCCAGTAAGTATGCTGGGTATCAAAAACAGGAGAAAAAGGGAGTGTGCTTTCACCACTGGAGAATTGCACGATACCTTCATATATTGCACTATGTGGCGGACTGAGTGAGTGAGTGAGTATTGTTTTACACCGCACTCAGCAATATTCCAGCTAATTGGCGGCAGTCTGGATCAGACAATCCAGTGATCAACAGCATGAGCATCTATCTACGCAATTGTGATATGATGACATGTGTCAACCAAGTCAGCGAGCCTGACCAACCTTACAACAAGCATGGGTTACTGAAGATCAGTTCAAACTCCAATCTTCAAAGGTCATGTGGAGGACTGACTGCAGGATAACCATAACTCCGACAGCTTAAACATTGGCTTGTGGTGGTCATTGCGCTGCGATGATCATAACTCCCATACTTAACATTGGCTTGTGGTGGTCACTGCGCTGCGATGATCATAACTCCCACTCTTAATATTGGCTTGTGGTGGTCATTGAGCTGTGATGATCATAACTCCCACACTTAACATTGGCTTGTGGTGGTCACTGCACTGCGATGATCGTAACTCCCACACTTAACATTGGCTTGTGGTGGTCATTGCACTGCGATGATCGTAACTCCCATACTTAACATTGGCTTGTGGTGGTCATTGCACTGCGATGATCGTAACTCCCACTTAACATTGGCTTGTGGTGGTCATTGCACTGCGATGATCGTAACTCCCACACTTAACATTGGCTTGTGGTGGTCATTGCACTGCGATGATCGTAACTCCATACTTAACATTGGCTTGTGGTGGTCATTGCACTGCGATGATCGTAACTCCCACACTTAACATTGGCTTGTGGTGGTCATTGCACTGCGATGATCGTAACTCCCATACTTAACAATGGCTTGTGGTGGTCATTGCACTGCGATGATCGTAACTCCCATACTTAACATTGGCTTGTGGTGGTCACTGCGCTGCGATGATCATAACTCCCACTCTTAATATTGGCTTGTGGTGGTCATTGAGCTGTGATGATCATAACTCCCATACTTAACATTGGCTTGTGGTGGTCATTGAGCTGTGATGATCATAACTCCCATACTTAACATTGGCTTGCGGTGGTCATTGCACTGCGATGATCGTAACTCCCACACTTAACGTTGGCTTGTGGTGGTCACTGCGCTGCGATGATCATAACTACCATAAAAATTGGCTTGTGGTGGTCACTGCACTGCGATGATCGTAACTCCCATACTTAACATTGGCTTGTGGTGGTCATTGCACTGCGATGATCGTAACTCCCACACTTAACATTGGCTTGTGGTGGTCATTGCACTGCGATGATCGTAACTCTCATACTTAACAATGGCTTGTGGTGGTCATTGCACTGCGATGATCGTAACTCCCATACTTAACATTGGCTTGTGGTGGTCATTGCACTGCGATGATCGTAACTCCCATACTTAACATTGGCTTGTGGTGGTCATTGCACTGCGATGATCGTAACTCCCATACTTAACATTGGCTTGTGGTGGTCATAGAGCTGAGATGCTCATAACTCTGACAACTTCAACACTGACTTGTGGTGGTCATTGCGCTGAGATTATCATAACTCCCATACTTTAACACTGACTGAAGATGATCTTAACTTCCGTACTTCAATAATGGCTTGCGGTAGTCATAGCACGGACAAGATCGAAACTCCCATCATTCAACATTGGCTGATGGTACTCAAAGCACTAAGATGATAGTAACTCCAATGCTTCAACCTACAACATAAGGCCGCACCAGGAGATGCTTTGTGAAACAGGGCCTGGGTCTCCCAAAACAATGTCATCACAAGCTTCCTGACCCCAGAATAAGGCACACCGGGCAGTATCAGTCTGGTCTACAGAGGCAAACCCACCAATATAAATGTAACGTACCCCCTACACAGATATGTCAATAGTGCTGGTTACAGATATCCTGGTTCCTTTTGTCTGAGACAAAACTCTGAACTGGTACCAATGTACAGGGATAAAAAAGGTTTTGTAATCATCTGGCCAGGTTCCACAAAAAGCCATCTTTGAGCTACAACTGTTGTGTGCCAATGTAAACTACTGGCAGTTGTGATTGTCCAAGCGCTAAAATCACACGAGACACAAAAGAAAATAATATGAAGTCCAAACAATCAGTACCCAAAGAAATCATGAAAAGAGTATGAATTGCAGTAGATGCTCAACATACATGGTTTCTATTTGTCAAGAGGAGAACTACTTTTTTACTTCATCTCAGATTTGCTTCTACATCAACTGTAGTTCCTCCACTGGCCACCCAGTGTCTGCTCTGTGTTCCACCACAGCGGGCCCTGCCTCACACATCACCAACAGACAGAGGCAAAATACTTGTGAAATACCAAAACTGCCATACACCTGGGCGA